TGACCATGGACAGAGTGACCATGGACAGGGTGACCATGGACAGGGTGACCATGGACAGGGTGACCATGGACAGGGTGACCATGGACAGGGTGAGAGATGTGTTAAACATATAGTTCACAGATTTATTGAACAATCAACCACACAAGGTGAGTCGGTGCATTTAAAATGCTAAGCTAACCTAAGATAAGCTAAAATGCTAAGTGGAAGTGGTGGTAGTGGTGGTGGTAGTGGTGGTGGTGGTAGTGGTGGTAGTGGTGGTGGTAGTGGTGGTGATACACTGAGAACACAAAGGGCCAGGGCCCAACACCCTGGTGTAGTGTGTATAGTGTTACCTCTCACGCTATGTACTCCCAGATGGGTGTAGGTGTACCTCTCCTCCACACCCCCCCCCATGTTGTTACACCCCATGTTGTTACACTCCACTCCATTAGAAAATCAGTTGGAACACTGAGGTAACTACCCAGGCACTCTGTAGCCCCCAGGCACTCTGTAGCCCCCAAGCACTCTGTATCCCCCCAAGCACTCTGTAGCCCCCAAGCGCTCTGTATCCCCCCAAGCACTCTGTAGCCCCCAGGCACTCTGTATCCCCCCAGGCACTCTGTAGCCCCCAGGCACTCTGTATCCCCCCAGGCACTCTGTATCCCCCAGGCACTCTGTATCCCCCAAGCACTCTGAAGTTCCCAGGCACTCTGTAGCCCCCAGGCACTCTGTAGCCCCCAGGCACTCTGTAGCCCCCAGGCACTCTGTATCCCCCCAGGCACTCTGTAGCCCCAAGGCACTCTGTAGCCCCCAGGCACTCTGTATCCCCCCAAGCACTCTGTAGCCCCCAGGCACTCTGTAGCCCCCAGGCACTCTGTAGCCCCCAGGCACTCTGTATCCCCCCAAGCACTCTGTAGCCCCCAGGCACTCTGTCATCAGTAACTAACTACATAAGAGTTTTTTTTTAGTTTATTCGTTTATTATGCACCCCATACCCATCTTGTGGGCGGTAGTGGAAAGGGTTACATAGGCACATAATGGGCTCAGGGACTGAACCCCACAATTCATTTATCTAAGCAAGTTACAATCTTGATGAGCTAGTTACAAAATTATAGACAAGCTAACATTTAACATTAATAAAAAAATAATAAGCTTGACGAATTCTAGAGAAGATTGAGGCTGAAATTTAGCAAGATTGAAATGCAGTAAAATATGCATTCATACAAAGGGGGAGCATGGGGGGGGGGTGAACCTCGACCACCCCTGTGACCACCCTAGCAACCGGTATTCACGCTTCAAATTTGGTGAGGCTAGCCGAAAGCGTCCGTGCTCCAATCGCGAATACGAACAAAGAGATTCATGAGTCCGGGCTATTCATGCCTGTGCCACCTCTTGGGTGGATTAATCTTCATCAATCAATCGGTGGATAGAGCTTCTCTCTCTCTCCCACTCTTGGGGTCGGTGGTGGATCTCCTAGTGCCCAGGTGAATGAAATGTGTTGGGTATCTGGGACTTTAACTCAAAGATAAGATAATATAATATTATTTAATTAAGAGAATTAATATACCCGAAGGACCACCCACTTTTGCAAAAAGAGGGAAAACAAATAAAGAGATTATAAAACTGACACTGTAGAACCAGTGCCTATGTATGTTAAATTATTTAGCAATTATTTAAAGAGGATGAATGGACTGTAATAATAATTAATTGAGAGTTAAAAGCCTCAAATATCAACATTGGGGAATATTACTAGAAATTCATATATATCTAGGAACCAGTGTGTGGTTCTTCACCACCTCATTAATGAGGTTAGTAAAGGTTATAGAATCTTGAATCGAATGTAGATTCTAAAAGATTATGAAATAATAAATGATCAATTCTATGAAATATTACTAAAATCCTAAGAAATAATAAATGCAAACTTATTGAGTACTAAGCAGTAAATTATTGACTTAAATTATTCCTCTTGACCATTATATGCATGGAAAACACATATTAAAATTAATAATGGTAATAGTCAAATATTCTACGAAACGTGATTTGTGTCTTAGCTGTGAGATGACTTCACTAAACCCGTCTCAGTACTCGTAGTCGTGATCACATCGTCCAAGTCGATCCCACGATCGTCGTCGCCCCCTAAATCAACACAACATCGTCCCAATAAGGAAGAAACACCAGTGGTGAACATCGTAAGTGAAGGCAGAAATACTTGGTTCGTCCTCGCCTACACGCTGTAATCAGGGAAATTTGAGCAACAATTGACTAGGCTAGAAAATTATTCCAATATTCACTGAAATTGGAAAATAAAGTTGGATGAAACTAACGTTGTATTTGTGGTCTGCGTACATCCTAACGACAGGCTGCCCACATAAATATACTATAGAATGATGCATCAAACTACAATGTATACTTTACGTAGGAAGGCGATGAGTCACAATAACGTGGCTAAAGTAAGTTGACCAGACCACACACTAGAAGGTGAAGGGACGGCGACGTTTCGGTCCGTCCTGGACCATTCTCAAGTCGATTGTCCAGGACGGACCGAAACGTCGTCGTCCCTTCACCTTCTAGTGTGTGGTCTGGTCAACTTAACGTAGGCGTGTTGGAACACATAGGCCCGCCGGTATCACGTCTGCTAGTTCTCGACGCTCACTGCTGTAGACTATTAATTACGGGACGTAACTATCTTCACAGACGCGTAATTAAACAACAACTAGTGTTGTACGACCACGTGATCTTGATGTAATGACGCCTCCTCTCAGGTCTCAGAGCAAGAGTAGAATGCGTCCTTGGTCAATTAAATGCAATGACCGATCTTCAGACCAATTAAACGCAATGGCCGTAATGATGGGCGCAGACGCTGTTCAGAACACGCCACACTGGGATTGCTTCTCCCTTGCACGCTGCTAATATGGCATCTCTAGTAGGAGTCTCTGCAGCAAGTGACGCTCTCCTTCTTCCCCGGCTGTGATACGCATGCGCAGCCCGCTCAAAGTATTCTCGAGCTTATTTTATTTTATTTCCAGGTGAGTTTCTTTCACTCTATGGCCCTGTTACCTAGCAGTAAAATAGGTACCTGGGTGTTAGTCAGCTGTCAGGGGTTGCTTCCTGGGGGTGGAGGCCTGGTCGAGGACCGGGCCGCGGGGACACTAAAGCCCCGAAATCATCTCAAGATAACCTCAAGAAGGTGTCGTCTTATAGTAGTGTTTATTTCCGTGTTGCTATATCCATTGTTCACCAACACCTGAGTTATTCTTTCAAACTCCCTACTCACGTTGCTCCATTCAGAGCAGTGGGTAAGGCCTCGACAGATATAAGCGTTGAGAACACTGGCTTTGCATCTTTAGGGGCACTCACTCCTACCGTTTAGGCATAATCCTATGCCTATAATCCTTTAAGACGACACCTGGACCGATGGTACAATCCTGAACCAAGGGCAGAAACCACAACGCCTCCAATAAAATTATATTACAAATCAACTATGCACAGTGAACATAAAAAAAAGAACGAATAATGAAAGACATAATCCGTAAAAAGAGTAAAAACTACAATTCCTAACCAAAACATAGACTTAATTATTTATATTTATACGTATAATGGCTCTAGGAGACACGAACCGTGGACCCTTCGTGTGTCAGGTCAAAGCTCTATCGAGCGAGCCATTGAGCAGTCTTAATAAGGAAGGTTTCAAGAAGCAGCATCCTGCTGCCAAACTGGAATTTTCGACTTTTATTTCACACACACCAGGAGATGAAAAGACGGCGACGTTTCGGTCCATCCTGGACCATTACCAAGTCGATTGTATCACAATCGATTTGATCATGGCAGGACGGACCGAAACGTCGTCGTCTCTACATCTTTTGGAGTGGGGTGGGAAGGGTAGAAATAGCCTAAGATTCTCTATCCCTTTGAGATGTATTTTATTGTCTCAATAAACGTACTTAAACACGAGCTCTTCATCTTCTGCTGTGTGGTTTGGTCATCATATCTTCAGCCACGTTATTGTGACTCATCGTCTGCATATAATATATTATATTTACATTATATTAGACATGATTTGATACTTTAATTAGTTATTTTGGCATCACTTGCAGCCGTAGCGTGACCAACTGTAATTGTACTGCTTTCGTTAAAGGAGATTCTAGGTTTACCATTGTGGTCCCTGTGGCATTGAGAAATCTATGTGTTGTAAGATGTATATTTTCTGGGTAAAATATCATGAACCTTTAATGTGAAGATGATTAAGTTTGACTTGCAGAGAAGCGTTGGTTTATATATTGGTTTGGTGGTATTGTTCATGATAAGGGTTCTTAAAAAAGAATAAAAAATTCATGGGGAAGGTGCTACTTGGTTATAAATAATTCTTTCTCTAAATGATAAGATGTGTAGCCTAAATTGATAAACATCAACAGTAATTAACATTACCTCTCGACTGTGTTACCGTTGGACTACTGTACAAAGACCATATAAGCCCGAGCTCTCAGCAGCTGAACTGAGGCTACCTCCAGTGAAGATAATCTGTGTTATCCTGCTTTAAGTATATGTGATCAAACAGTGAATGTGATCAAACAGTGTATGTGATCAAACAGTGTATGTGATCAAACAGTGTATGTGATCAAACGAGAGATGTGTAACTAGTTTCTTGGTATGGCTATGTATATATATAGGCTTCATGATGTCAATATTGCCTCCAGAGTAGCAGGCAGCGCTACACTTTTGCTCACCTTGTGCAATTCAAAGATTCTGATGTTGTTGATCTTTGTATTCACCCAGAAACTCGGCGCTCGTTTAATAATTACCTTACCTCTCCTTGGTGTTGTGAGAGGGGGTGAGTTCCAGGTGTTGGGGAAAGGGTCTAACGATGGGGGGGGGGGGAAAGCCCTGGGTGTCGGGCGAGGCGGGGAGCGGGTCGGTGGCAAGCGGCGTGTGTCGGGTGTCGGGTGTCGGAACCGGCGTGGACGTGGTCGGCCGAGCACGGCGTCGGGTATATAACGTGGCAGCGAGGGCTGGGAAGTCAGGGTGAAGAAGCAGCACCGTCGCTTAGCCACGCCTCCGTCAGCAGCCTCCGTCAGCAGCCGCCGTCAGCGCCCCCCAACCACATCCGTCAGCATGAACAAGTACTTCCCAGGTATCGGGCGGGTGGAGTACCGGCCGGATGCTGGCCCCGAGGACACTCTGGTCTTCCGGCACTACAACGCCGGCGAGACCGTCCATGGCCGCTCCATGGAGGAGTGGCTCCGCTTCTCCGTCTGCTACTTCAACACCTTCAGGTGAGTGACAGGTCCTTCCTTTGGTGAGTGACAGGCCCTCCTCTTGGTGAGTGACAGGTCCTCCCCTTGGTGATTGGCAGGCCCTCCCCTTGGTGAGTGGCAGGCCCTTCCCTTGATGAGTGATAGGCCGTCCCCTTGGTGAGTGGCAGGCCCTTTCCTTGGTGAGTAACAGGCCCTCCCCTTGGTGAGTGACAGGCCCTCCCCCTTGGTGAGTGTCAGGCCCTCCCCTTAGTGAGTGACAGGCCCTCCTCTTGGTGAGTGACAGGTCCTCCTCTTGGTGAGTGACAGGTCCTCCTCTTGGTGAGTGACAGGTCCTCCCCTTGTTGAGTGGCAGGCCTCTCCCCTTGGTGAGTGACAGGCCCTCCCCTTGGTGAGTGACAGGCCCTCCCCTTGGTGAGTGACAAGCCCTTCCCTTGATGAGTGACAGGCCGTCCCATTCGTGAGTAACAGGCCCTCCCCTTGGTGAGTGACAGGCCCTCCTCTTTGCGAGTAAAATAGATCCCATCATTTTTCGTCTCAAATATAAGAATGTCTGGTGATACTAGATTAGTGAAGCTGAACTTAATGTAAACACAAGATCGGTTGCGGCGCGTCACTCTCCGTTTTTCACCTAAAACAGTATATATATGCAAGAACGCGCATACCCATTCATACCCAGGGTGTGACTACCCATACCCAATCATACCCATCCTTTCCCCTCAGACCAGTGCCTAAACACTCAGTAATTCAGTAGCCTTTCCCCTTGTTTATAAGTGAAACATAATATGCATTCGACCTTTGCTCGATTAAACATTCACTCATTTTCCAAGTTCATCCAAGAACTGTAAATACGCTTAATTGCCAACAGGACCCTTAAAGCACATGATCTAACTTAAGCCTAACCAAACACAAAACTACAATACATATATGTAATATATGTATTGTATATGTAATATATATTATTACACAGTCCGTAAAAATTGATGACTGTACCTTTGAGGAGGAGCGCCGCTTGGACCAGCGTAGTCTTGGGAAAGCTTTGAGTGGGTCCAGTACTATAGCACCCAACATTACCAAACAGCACAATTGGTCCTCTACAATTCCCAACATTAGGTTCCCCCCTGAACTGAACGCATTTTGTAGCTTAGATTTAAGGATAAACACATCTCTGCTATTACGAGTCTGTAGTACAGTGGTCTACGTTCTCAACTCACAACGGGGAACTGGAGTTTGATCCCCGGGTGGGACAAAAATGGTTCGACATGTTTCATTTTATCTGATACCTCTGTTCACCTAGCAGTAAACAGAAAGCCGGGAGTTAGGCAAGTGTTGTGGGGTTACATCCTGGGGAAAGGTCAGCAGTTCGACCTTGGGAGGACTTCGTACAAGCCTAAGAACAGGGGGGTTCCAATCCCCAACCCTGTTCTTCCCTGTATCAACCTACCCTAGCTTTGCGCCCTGGAGAGGCCACTCCTGACCGACAACCAGAGCGTAACTGCATAGTCTCCTGAGACTGATGGATGACTACTACTACTACTACTGTGTATGGCCCAAGTTGTGCTATTCGTAGCAGTGATGTACAGTATTCAGTAGGAGTCTGTTCTCACCTCTCGGTCAGTACTTAACTTCTCGGCAATCTTCACAGCGCTCTCCGTTCATGCTTGACTCAACACTAGTTCCTATTTCTTGCAGATTGAAGAGTTCTTGTTAACAGATTTGTTGTTGTTTTTAGATTCAGCTTTTTGGAAAAAATGTTCCAACCAGCACGGGTTATGGTGAGCCCGTCGTACTCACCTTGCACAGATGTGCCTTGTTAATTAAACTATACACAGTTATTCATACAATAACACATATTTAATATATATATATACATAGTAACATAATACAGTACTTAATTAGTAAGCACAGAAAATGTATATTAAATAAGACCAACTAATTCGCAAAACGTTTCAGGCATAACTTAAAATAATTCGGATAAATTATTATGGTAATCACGGTTGACCCTCAAGATCGGGCACAGGTTAATGAGATATGTCGCAGGTACTTCGGCTCTGAGGGCCACTATGGCGAGCGGGCCCATCACCACCAGTGGGAGGACGGCTCCCGCTCCCTCGACAACTACAAGCGCCGCATGACCGCCGCCTTCGAGTTCTTCCACAAACTCAACGTCAAGTTCTACTCGGTGGGTGACGCGAGCTTGGTCTTTGGTACTGGTAGATACTCAGGTGCTTGAGCTGAGCTTGCTAATCTTATGATTTCCTGTTTATAGAGAATAGGTTCGCCTGTTGCACCTTCGTGAGTTATCAAGTGAAGGCACTAAGCTAGGAAAGATATTTAGCTAAGGATAAAGTAAGATTGAAAGTAAATAACGAGTGACGCTAATTGTGAGAGGTTCTTCAGGTGAGTGACCGCGACATGGCCCCCGAGGGAGACAGCTTCGAGGAGACCAACAGCTACCTGGAGGAGATGGTGACTCTAGCTGCTGACCTACAGAGGCAGACAGGGATCAAGCCCCTCTACTACAGTGCCGACCTCTTCACTCACCCTCGCTATATGAACGGTGCAGGCGCCAACCCCGATGCGCACGTGTTCGCCTACGCATGTGCACAGGTGAAGCGCAGTCTGGAGGCGGCCAAGCGCCTGGGAGCTGAGAACTTCGTGTTCTTCAATCCTCGCGACGGCTACCAGAGCGTCCTCCAGCGTCAGTTCTTCCGGGACATGTCGCACATGGCGCAGCTGTACCGCATGGCGGCGCAGTATAAGGACAAGATCGGCTACAAGGGTCAGCTGCTGATCCAGCCCAAGCCAGCTGATCCCCGCCGTCACCAGTATGAGGCAGACGCCATGGCCACCATGCACATGCTCCGACACTTCGGCCTGGACAAGCAGTACAAGCTCTACATCAAGCCAGCCTTCTCCCGCCTCATGGGTCGCCCCTACGAACACGACGTCTACATTGCTGCCGCCTACAACATGCTGGGAAGTATCGACGCCTCTGACAGCTTCCCGGAGATCAACGCTACCTCAGACATCTGCGCTCGCAACATACGCGACGCCACCTACGTCATGAAGTGCGTTCTTGAGCAGGTATGTAACATGGTCGCGCGGCGGCCATCTTGGTACTACGAAATTTGGCTAGCATTGATTAGGTCTTCTCGGGACTACTTTAACGAACATCTAAACGATGAGGGTCAGGCTCTCCGACATTGGTCATGCGTGTTCTTATGGTTCTCAAGTGTGTGTATAAAGATTTAGCCCATAACACAAGATGGTAGCCATGAACTTGAGGCTTTGCTCGTCATCTTAGTCTTTATCTTTAAATCGGTAGAACTATTCTAGTTATAATCTTACAAAAAAGGTCGTTGAATATAGTTAAGATCTACACGAGTAATTTACAACATGGTGCTATCAGCTATCACAATATAATACAAACAATAATAGTAATAGGTAATTTATATATAAATAAGTTACTATTACAAAGTTTACATACATATTACAATGAGTAAATTAAAGTTTACAAGGATAAACGCCCAAGGTTCCTGGCAAATCATAGAACATATTACAGTTTAATATAATATAATGCATTGGGTATTTGTAAAGCGTTTAATGGTCTTATAAAGTAGAACTCTAGCTAAGAGATACAATTGCACGAAATACATAAATTTCATGAAAGTCAAATTATAGTTTAAAATAAGGAGACAATGACAATGTCTGTTGCATATAGTGGGATTTTAGGAGCATGGCGTCAAGAGACGCATGTGGGGAAGCACCCAATAGATATATTAATTCACTATACTGTGTTATAACCCACTATATATAATGTTTCTGGAGGGCTGCCTATGATAGGCCGAACGCCATGGGATTTCGCCATGGCCGAACGCCAATATGTAAATATGTTTGGTCATTTATACTCAAGTGTGTATATGGTATGTGGGTGACAGTGTACGATTCACTTCATTGGAAAACGGTAATAATGTAAGTTGAACCATTATCGGGAGCGCCATTACATGCGCAGCCCACCTTGTGTGAGCTTATATATAGAGACGTAAATTGTATAATGATCTAGCTAGTCTAACGTGGCTAGGTAGGCTAACGTGGTCATTATATGTGTTAAAACCAGGGGTGGGGATAGCATGCTGTGGGTGGGTTATCAGAGTGACTTATATACTCAAGCCTTCCTGGTGTCCTCGCCTCCCCCAGAGCGGCCTGCAGCAAGGTGGATTCACCCTTGGAGGTCGCGTGCGCCGCGAGTCCGTCGAGCCCCGTGACCTCTTCCACGGTCACATCCTGGCCATGGACACCTTCGCCCGCGCCCTCAAGAACGCTGCCCGCCTGATCTCTGACGGCTGCTTCGCTCGCTCCATCCAGCAGGTGAGTTCCCCTTCTCTGATGTACTGCCCTGTCCCTTTCCTCTTCACCTCCAGTCAAACTAAAATAACGAAGCTTGCAGACTTTATCTTAACTTTCCTTAGTAATTGCTCTCCTGTTATGCTTTCTTTTGAGTCAGGTAGCTTCTACAGAACATATTATCTCTTTAAACATTTTATCGATTGTAAATCACACGATTTCCTTAACGTCTTTGTCTGTATTTTGTCAGTATTTATCTTTTTGCATTTGATCATGACTTATTTGTTCATCTGTACTTGTCTGGTCAATATTACTCTGTTGTTCTTGTTTGATCAGCATGTTTTAATTCTAGTGTGTTGGTTCGGTCATGTTCCTCACCTCTCTTCGTCTTCCTCTCCTGCAGCGCTACTCCTCCTTCAAGTCTGGCATCGGCGAGCGCATCGAGAAGGGAGCCGCCACCTTCGAAGAGTGTGAGGACTACATTCGCAAGTGTGGTGAGCCACAACAGCAGTCCAGCCGCTACGAGCACTACGAAAACATGTTTAACTACTACGTCTACCCGCCACGACAGTAGATGACAGCAATACCAACACCGCCAACAGCATTGCCACTGCCAATAGCACTTTCACCGCCCCCACACACACACACACACACACACACACACACCAAGGCGCAGGTCCGAGTCGTCGGCTAGTTCTTCGACGCCTTATGACCATCCCGAAACTATCTTCCACCGCACTATTTGACGCACCACCTCAAGTGTTCACGGTCACCTGCAGCGTCGCATACGTGCGTCGTCGGTCACGTACTCCTTCTCACAGGGTAACAGCTGTTCAGTGAACATAAGCAGCAGGGCCGCGAATAACGCAGACGGTAATGCTGGTACCCCTTGTCAGACGCGCCTCAAACGTACCTTGCACCTACACATTTGTGTTCAGAACTAACAATAAGGGAACCTCACACTGTACACACCAACTTACATCAACATGGGAAACCTTCTCTCTCTCTCCTGTCCCTACCTACTACTCTCTCCTCTGTACCCTCGACCAAAGAGCCAGCGCTCAACCCCTGCAAGCACAACTAGGTGAGTACACATCTGTAGTTGGACAAGTTCGTGGGTCTTCTTATTCATGCCAGCAACTTTACTTCACTTTCCTTACTTATAACTAAGAGGGAGCCTAATGATATAATCTGAGAGGTTACTTAAACACTTATATATTATATGGAATGGAACCTCATTCTGGGAATAGATACCTACATCCCGAAAGAGATCTTAAAGGGTGCCTCATATCTCGAAGGAGGGGAGGAGGGGGGGGGGCATTTGCTGGTCCTTTACATCCTTCTCTCATACATCCAGGAGTCCTACCCTACAGTCATACATGAACCACACACCCAGGAGCCCCACACTCCTCTCATACACCCAGGAGCCCCACACTCCTCTCATACACCCAGGAGCCACACTTCTCCCATACACCCAGGAGCCACACTCCTCTCATACACCCAGGAGACACACTTCTCCCATACACCCAGGAGCCACAGCCCTCCCATACACCCAGGAGCCATGCACTCCTCCTCCCATACACCCAGGAGACAACCTTCCATACACCCAGGAGCCACACACTCCTCCTCCCATACACGCAGGAGTCACACTTCTCCCACACATCCAGGAGCCACACACACATATGGGTCTGCTGCTTTGGCCTCTTGCATAACACACTAACAAGTCACCAAGGATGAAGAACACCCTTGCACGATAACACTACAACGGGACACAGATCTAATAGTACACATGTTTACAACAATTGAGCTCAAATTCTTTGGCGGATAATATCAGTAGACAATAATCTGAAACTACTGTTTATATACCATCAATTCCAGACGACGTCATCAAGATCAGTTACTAGAAAGAATATGCGAGAAACGTATTAATTCCTGTTGGCATTTAGTCTATAAAAAAGAATGAGACAAGTATTTTTAAATTTTTTAAACTACTTATAGCCGCAGCATCAAGACAGCAGTTATGATGACTCTTGACAGACAAGCAATACAAAACATGTCTCGCATTTAACTGGCCAAGACAACAGTGAGAGAGGTTGTGCAGTTGCAAACTGGTTCAGTAATGTGTCTGCAACGACCCTGAAAGACTATGTTTTCCCAATCATCTGGCCAAAACATTATGTTTTTCCCACTCATCTGGCCAAAACGTCATGTTTTTCCCACTCATCTGGCCAAAACATCATGTTTTTCCCACTCATTTGGCCAAAACATCGTTTTTTCCAAGTCATCTGGCTAAAACATTATGTTTTTCCACTTATCTGGCCAAAATATCGAGGCAGAAACTTATTCAAAATCAAGACAGAAATTTTGCGTATAGTGGCCGAGAGAACATCAAGACAGCACCAGTCCATCGCCTCACACCAGGCATATATATATGCATTATCAACAATAATTATTATTGGGTTGTATGGATTTAAGCAAATCCTTTGTTAATCCCTTGTTTGATCCACCAATGCTTTAGTCGCTAATAAAAATAATTAAAGACCAATTTTGTGATTTTTTTCCACCCACCATGTGCTTTGTTCCTATGATAGACCGAGACAAAAACATTGTTAAGGATAAAAACAAATATTTCACACCACTGCTCTTGGTTCAGACTGGCAGAAGGTATAATAAATAAAAATTACAGGTGATTGAAAACCTTTACACAGAAATTTAATGGGAAAGAAAAAACAATAAAAACTATTTATCAAACAATAACAATTTGCGTGTAAAAATACATTGAAGCTTGATACAGTGGAGTATACACAGGTACGCAATAATTTATATAACACCACTAATAAGGAGTGCATTTTGGACATAACTTAAAACAATTAGATAATATATCTGTTTAATGAGGTAACATTTAATACTGAACAAAAAGTATGATGACATTTGGATTGTTAAAGAAACATCCAATAATACATTTTTTTAAGTAATAATGATTAAAGGCATTAACGGTTTAAATGTATAGAAACTGTAGCTACAGTAACAGTACAGATATAGTTAGTAATAATAATAATAATAATTTATTTATGCAAAAGTACACACACACATGATATAAACAGTGGAGAATATGAAGGTAATAAAAGTAAGACACAATGCCACATATATAAAATGCATTTCCAACATAAGATAAAAAAAATGAGTAGAATAATGTAAGAGTGTAATGGGGTAATACTTAACGAAATGAGATGCTCCAATTTTTGTGTTAAAAGATTTAGAAAATGATTGAAAAATTTTTAAGATATGTTTAGAAACCAGTTTTTACAACAGCAGGAACATAGGAATCAAATGTATAATTGTACGAGTTTTATTATTAAAATTTTTATTTCTAGAAATGGCAGTGTTTGATAACAGTACATATATATAGATCGTATGTTCACAATAACAGCAAAAACAGGTTGTCATAAAGGATGATAAAAAGTGAGGAAAATTGATTACATAAAGTTAATTTGGTAGTTTTTAAATAGGTTTTTTAATCTCATTACACAAGTCATTCCCAGTTGGGGACCCTTGAATTGCAAAGGATGTCTGCTTTGATTAAATCACACTCTTATAATATCAACAAGATTTGAAGATTTGAACTAGAACTATATTTATGGTCATTCTCGAATCCATTTTTTATATATATTTCAAAATGTGCAACTAGCTTATCACGATTATAACAAGTTTAGCTAAATAAATTTTGGGGTTCAGTTCCCGAGTCCATTATGTGCCTGTGTAACCTTTTCCACAGTATGGGTATAGGGTACATATTGAATAATTTGGGTCTTTTCCAGAGACCCAAAGGTCTTATGTAACAAAGACAAGGGACAACAGCTTGGAAGGTCAGTCTGGAACATTAGTGAAACATTCTTAACTTTCAATAAATGAAAAGTTTTGAGGTATATTTATGGAACTTTGTTCGGTTTTATTACAAATATTCATCGGTCTCAAAAAACAAAAATACACATCGACCATATTTCGTTCTTTAGCTAACGATAAATATATACAATACACGAAGAGCTACAGGTACAGGTATTTAAAATCCACTACATGTTTGAATTGCTTTGTTGGGTATTGATTCTCTGGGTAATGTACATTTTCAGGAATAATGAATAATTAAATATTATTTTATAACTTTTTATTTCAATGCTCTTTCAACAAATTCAACTTAAGCCATGCTGAAAAGCAGACAAAAGTAAGTTTTAAGTTTTTAGAATATTTGACTACAAAAATATATGAAATTAAAATTATATCATTGCCTTTATCCTACCTTGTGATAGTTCTGAGAGTCAATGTCCCCAAGGCCCAGTCTCTGACCAAGCCTCCTGGTCACGAAAGGTTGTTAGATGCCACTGCTTGTAGTCTGACAGATGAACCACAGCCTGGTTGATCAGTTATCCCTTTAGAGGTGCTAATCCTATTCATCCAACTTCCTTTCATCAGGACTGTACATCAATCTATTTCATATACCGCTGCAGCACAAGACATTATCTCTAGTAGTAACAATCTGCACGTTAAGCCAAACGAATATTGTTGGAGTTCCTAGCATGAGAGAAAGAAATGATCTACAGAACTGATTCTGTCAGTATCCAGGTAGGGATATATAATATTATATATATATATATAACTAAAAACTCATACCCCAGAAGTGACTCGAACCCATACTGCTACAGTAGGAGCAACGCAACTGGTATGTACAGGACGCCTTAATCCGCTTGTCAAGCGGATTAAGGCGTCCTGTACATACCAGTTGCGTTGCTCCTAGCAGTATGGGTTCGAGTCACTTCTGGGGTGTGAGTTTTCAGTTGCATATAGTCCTGGAGACCATTCAGGTTTGTTCACATAAATATATATATATATATATATATATATATATATATATATATATATATATATATATATATATATATATATATATATATATATATATATATATATACTGTATATATATATATATATATATATATATATATATATATATATATATATATATATATATATATATATATATATATATATATATATACAGTATCACATGATAATTGTCACCCCTTATGCATCATAAATAACCAAACACATCACCGGGTAACATAACAGATATGGGATTGTTACATAGTTTAGCCATGTACATAAATGACTTGGGTGGATATAAATATTAGTCACATCATATGGCCCAACAGGAATTCTACAGTCCTTTATTTATCATTTTCTTAACCATTTAATATACGAGTTTATATGAGAATATTCATTTATAAGCATGTAAAATTTTCATCAATGAAAATTTTGAAATTATCAACATAAAAGAACAATAGTGGTTACATTCATCTAATGAATGTAAATGTATTTTGCAAACCTGGGTTGCAAAATACATTATGTAGTACAGTATATATATTTCCTTATACTGTATCTTACATGTCAGCAGATATCTGCAGAATTCACTTTCATTCACCCATCTTAGAAACCGACAAGCGCAAATGCAGTGCACATTACATGACCTACATGGAAATAACAGTGACGTACGAACCATTTCATTTTCTTTATCTTGAACCTATGGAATGTAGCTTAAAGCACTGCACAAAACCCCATTAGGAACTATAACAAACATGTTAACCTAAAGAAAATACTGTAATACTGAAAAAGAAAATTAGAACTACCATACTCGAGAAACTCCATATGGTTTGCTGCACGACAGCAATCAAGGAAGGTGTCATTACGACAGCATATCTCACAATACAAAACAAGGTGCTTTATGGAGTACAGGGGATGTACAGTATACGGTAATGATGTAATGTAATGAACACAGGTACAGTATAGGTAAAGGGAAATCGCGGCAGCTTTTTATGTCATTTTTATGTAATGAACACGGAATGTAATAAGTATAGGGAAAAGGGAGACCACTGCATACATGGCACAGTATGTGCCTCTGGAGAAGGTCACTAATTGATCAAGTGAACCTCGATAATACCAACCAGAGCTTTCCTGTTTTCATCAATGAAATACCAATAGTGCATATACTATAAATAAAAATTACAATAAAAATTACTGGGGTTAGAGCGATGAAAATGCACATGCTACCTGAAAATGTGTTATTTTACAGCATACATTTGACGTTTAAATTATCTTTAACAATTCTTACTAAATACAAAACAAAATGGTTCTAGTCATGAATTACCTAGCATCAGGGTGAGTGTAGAAATTTGGGTAGAACAATGCTTATTTGTTTTCATTTTACATTATAACACTCAAAGTCTCTTCCCCCTTGAAACGAATATATTAAAAATGTTCTAAAATCTGCTACCATGGGAAGGTGGCCCTGGGAAGGGAGGGGGGGGGGGGGTAAATTACCCAGTAACAATAGGGACCTTCCCTGTAGCATCATACAAAAGCACTAAAAATTTTAACCAAACATGCAAAGGCCCAATAATGAAACATGAAAAATGAATCAGGTAGCCCATTGGGGATATCTAAACACAGTACTGTACTCTATGCAAGGCAGAACCACCATCAAAGAAGTCCATGACCTCATTACAAATATGGAATCTTTGCACCGGAACCCTGTTAAATAGAAAATACATCCTCACAGGGCTTTCACAACAGATTCCCGCAGCTGTAAAATGACAGCTTTCGGGTCTTCGGCATTTACCACAGCACTTCCAGAAACAATCATGTTGGCACCAGCCTGAGGAAATAAAAAGTGAATTACTTTTACAAAGTTTCCAAAGACTTTGATAAATATATTTAGTTTGTTCCATGAAGAATTAATTTTTAAGGGAAAATGTCTGAACCATTATGAGTACTTTGTCAAGTATGGGAGGTTCAGTATATGGCATACTTAGAATATTGAAGGATTATTCAGTCAAGTATGGGGAATGCAGGAAGGCAAGCATTGAGTATTAAAGGAATACAATGTCAAGTGTGATAGACAGCATTAAACAAAGCAATAATACAGTGGGGTTACACCATCAAATGGGGGAATGAACAATTACCCCATGAGAGTAATGGATAATGGATTTATTAAATCTTGTGCAGGTTAAAGTTAAGGTTAGCCTATATGGACACACTGGGAATGCATTTCAGAAACTTAAATGTATGTGTATGCAGAGTTGTCATATTCCTACTACTTAAGGAGCACTCACACATATACAGTGCTTAACCTTAGATAAATATTCCACCCATTAACCATTCATTACACCATCTTTAAGCATCACAAACTATGACTTTTGCAGAGTTTTACAAACTGGTCTTGCTATTACGAGTCAGGTATTTCCATTTCGAGATGCATAACTAAGTTTTATAAAAATATTGAAACCCCTGTGACCAAAATACTTAAATAAACCCATCTCAAAGCCAAAGGTGAGCCTGACCTACCTCAGCACAGGCATCAATAGTTGATGGTCCCACACCTCCATCCACTTCTATGTCCATGTCGGGAAACTTCTCTCGAAGGAATCTGACTTTGGTCATCATGTCTCCCATGAATTTCTGTCCTCCAAATCCAGGTTCTACTGTCATTACAAGAATCATATCTGCCAGGTCAGCGTAAGGCACTACTGACTCCACTGACGTGCCTGGCTTGATTCCTATGCCAACCTGTTCAAATTGAAATTACATCCCACTAAAGATAAATATTTTTTCTGAGTATATACAAACAAAAATGTCCATTAACAAATATAATTCCTATTTTCATAGAACAGGAAGCCTGTACTTAGGCTTATCGAAGCCCCCCTTCCCCTCTAGGCTAACTACTAATGTTTTCCCAGGATGCAACCAAACTCCCGGGTACCCATTTTGCTGCTAGGCGAGCAGAGGAATCAGGCGGCATGGAGCAGCAAGCAACCAAGATGAGTAACACTGGGCATGGTGGGAGTCAGGGTGGCCTAGGGGTTATGGTAGGAAACTGACCACAGAAATGGAATAAAATAAAATACAAAATATAGTAAATATTGTACTGGTACGATATCCTAGATTATATTGAATGAACAGTACATCAATTTTCTTAATGTTTATTCAATGTTAAATTAACGTTGCTCTTGGATATTGTGCCCACTGGGTAGGCACACTTGCACACTTATCTAAACTGTCACAATTGAAAATTAACTGAACAAAATGACAGTATAAGTAACAATTATGATGCATGAGAATAGGTCTATGGATAATGAGGCTGAAAAAATAGATTACAGAACTGAGGTTAATAAGTCCAAATGGAAAGGGACTGATTATATTTTTCTTCGGTCATCACGGCAATAGGGTCACAGATGCAAGCAGGAATGGTAAGCAACCAGCTATCTAGGAGAGGAATATCGGAGTACAAACAAGGGGTTATGGAGATAAGAGAAATGGTTCAAGATAGAATGGCATGTCTAGATAGGTTTGCCTCAAGGCTTTCCTAATAAGCTCTACATTAGATTTAACAAAATTTTGGATGATTACCAACATAGACTCATGCCCTGCTCAAGGCTAGAAAACAATTTTGTCGGTCAATAATTTGTCCTATTGATCAGCACCCTTAAGTACTGTATCACTGAAAGATACTTAAGGACATTTGTATACGTGTACATGCCAATCCTGTATATGTACATTACAAAAGATTATACTCTACCTTCATTCCTGCTTCTTTGATTTTGCGAGCCAAAGCAGGAGCATCTACTGTAGCTTCAATGTGAAATGTATACTGGTCGGCTCCTGCATCAGCCATTGGGTCAACCCACTGAAAATGCAAAAATCTAATGTAAATCATTGAGTATAATGAAATTATATGTTTCTGGATGGCACCTCAGTAGCTTCTCATGCTTACGACACTGGCATCATAGGGGCCATGTTATACCTGTTAGACTGTGAGGACCTCTGCACACTGACAGCAGACTTCAATTCACACTGACGTCTGCTCTTCATGATGAGGTGAGCAAATAGGGATCAGAGATAACCCTATTACCGAGGTGAACAGCTTCTAAAAAAAAAAAATAAGTTGCAAAACACACTTAATCTTCTTCCAAGAAGTTTAGTAATCTAAAAACTACCAAACACAACTCTGAAGACAAGTGATCCAACTACCCATCCACCTATCCCATTCAGCACACAGATGGACTAAGGGGTAAGAAGCAAGAAAAGGGCAAGACTGGGGAGCTACCGAGGTGCCACTCAAAGAGAGATACTGGTATTTCTGTAGACATGATGCTTTATTTGGGTGAACTCCCCCTCAGTAGATTACCTAGCTTAATCACATGGAACTTCACAGAGAATACAATACTTTCTTCAGAACAATCCAAAACCACAATAACAAAATATAAAGTAGGGCATACACTTTGAAGTAGATGTCCAAGGCAACCAGAGCCAGACTGGGAAGGCAATGATTCATATGACTGAGGGCCACGCAGCAGAGTCAAGGAGGGTGAGTCGGGAGATCATGAGTTGCAAGGACCTGATTTAACCACCAAAAGCCAAGATTCTCGATATTAACTGTGGATATGTGAGGATATAATGGTGACAGCTGTGTATGTGTGGGTTTTTTTTTTTGGTTGTTGTGAATGTGTAGATGAGGAATCAAATGTGTGTGTGGGTGTGTGTAAACAATATGGTTAGTACTCAAAGATAAAGAGCCTATTAAGCCTCTTGATAAAACGACTAATCATAAGTGTTCAGGGCTTGGTTTCCGACTATGTCTGGAGGGCAGCATCTGACCACCCCATTTTCCGTGCCATGGATCATGGATACCAGTGAGTGTTACCATCTAATTTTTATATGCGATATAGCATGATATTTTTTATTGGGGTTTCCCCATGTAATTTGGACAGACTTCATTTTCCTGTCCAGAGAATAACGATGTGTAATTTCCACACTGATCTCAGGTCACATCATATTACATATGATGTCTGACTGGTCTGTCAGCCAAAGCTCTTAATGGATCTTACATCTGCTTAAATGGAATAAAAAACAAGTCTTAATTGTATACATATAAATGTATTAAAGCCAAAAGCCAATGTATTAAAGCTATATTAAAGCCAAATATTATTTTCTTTATGTTAACGTGATAAATATCCACAAAAGTAAGTATTGGAAAAATATTTTTGACAAATATTTTTCCCAAATTTATATCTGTAGGCACATTATATCTAATGTGCCTATATCTTAATGCTATATCTACCACATTAACATATGTACTTGTGGGATATAGGCAGATGGTCTGGGAATTTTTTGGTGTCATTTTACTGAAAGATGCAGGAAATGTAGGTTTTTATAAAACACTAATTTCTGCAAACTGTCCAGATTTAGGTATTCGTAATGAAATTTACTACTAAATGTACAAAAATAGTGAAATACTGAATATACACTGTATATGTATTAAATTCAGTTATAATATTCTTTTATGTTCAGAAGTTACAGTTATGTTATGAAAAGAAGTCAACAGTTATGTTGTTATAAATTACTACAGCCTATCAAAATCAATATGGATTTTTGGCTGATAGCTGCCATAAACCAAGATTCCCCCCCCCCCCCTTGGGATTATGGAGATCTGATATGATAATTAAACTTATACATTTTCTGGAGCACCTCATTACGTGAAGGTTGGTATTTAAAAGGTGGGACTGTACAGTACTATCTGCACTTACACACACAGTCACAGTGGGTAATCTTGCCTCAGAGAGTAACAGAGTTTGTAAATAAAAGAAACAATTTGTCAACAGAATATTAATGTCCCAGGTACATACAGTAATTAATATTCTGCACACACTTTACCTTCTCAGGTTCTGCAACCATCATATGCATATCAAAAAAGGCTTCAGGAACCTTTGAGCGTAGGCATTTAACAAGAGGATGGCCAAAGGTGAGATTCGGGACAAAGTGGCCATCCATCACATCCAGATGAAGATAGTCAGCTCCGCAATCCATCATCTGTCATGATATTATTACTGTTTAATGACCATTATCAATATGTGACAAGAGCAGTTTGCAGTATAATCCAGCTTCAATCAAATAGTAAATGCTCTAGACAATTATGCAATTACAGTTAAATCTTGATTCTATATGGCATTATTCTATGTAACCCAATCTACATTAAAATAATTTAGACAATATTCTGTATTAAATTCCATGCAGCAAAATTCAATTCAAATTTCTTTTAAGGATTTAAACAAATTCATGAAAAAATGAGACATAATACACTAAGGTTTGTATAAACATTAAGACTATAGTACACTAATTAAAAATAAAAAGTTACATTACCAACAATGAATAATGAATATCAAGGAACTCATAATTGAGGTGAAGGGAGTGGCATTATATGTGGTTATTTCACCTGCATTCAGGTTTGGTCTGCTATTACACTGTTCTTACACTTTGTTAATTGTACTGTAAGGGCTCATTAATCTGGACCTCGTTTGGGGTCCAGATTAGCAAGTAATCTGGATTTTGTCCAGACTTTGGGTAATCTGGACAAAACTGAGTGAGTTTTCTCTGCCAAACTTCGGCAAACTCGGACAGTAGTCCCGGTTACTGAGAGTTCGGCCAGGTAACTGAGAATGACATCGGAAGACTTATGCTTACAAGAAGCAGCCTTAGCAGCTGGCAGTCAAAATTAACCTTGTCACTCTACCATAACCATGTAAGTTTATGTTTATTGTATTGTATTTGGGAAATACAAATTATGTTACTAGAATAGTCGGGTTCTTTCTTGACTCACAATCAAAACTTAGGGGTTCAAATCCTAGGCAGAACAGAAATGGTTGGGCACATTTCCTATCACCTAATGCCACTAGGGAGGGTCAGTATTTCGACTCTGAGGGGTGGCTTCGATATAAGCTTAACATGTAAATATACACTTGCTGCCTGTTCCCCAAGACAATTAATTATTATGAATTCATTATGAAAACATCAGAACAATAACAAATTCTGTTTTCAAACAACACACAGCCCCTCTGTTTAAATCCCTAAACATGCTAAACATACACTCACCTCACACATTCTCTTGTCGTATTTACATGTACAAAACCTTATTCATAAATGCAAATCCTGATCTGAAACTCTTCCTTGACCGATGTAATGGAATCCATGATCACCACACCAGAAATAAATATATCTTTGATATCCTCCAGTTAAATTAAATCTGTGCAAACACACTATGCAAATAGAGAGACCTAGTCTATGGAACTGCCTAACATATTAAAGAGCTGTCCAACCTATGCCTTATTCAAAAGTAAAACTAAAAAGTAAGTAATTTCATCCTCATAGTTTTCTACATAGTGCTTCAAACTTGCACTGTATCTTGTGCTACCCACTCCCCCAATATTTGTGGCTAAGACATGCAACTTCACTATTGTAATCACTGTTATCAACTTGCATCATAGTTGTTATGTTGAATGCTAATTTTGCTATAATGTACCTATTAATAATCTTCATATTTTGCTACAATGTTCCTATTAATATTTTTCACATTTTCCTACAATGAACTTATTAATATTCTTCAAATTTTGCTACAAATTACATACCTACTTATAAGTATCTGTTAGATTAAGTACATGCGAAACACTATGCGTGTTAGTGGCTTTGCAAGAATGTAAAAACATCAATGTTATGTACTCCCACTAACCCAATGTACCTTCTTATACATAAAATATAAATACATTATACAGTATATATATTTATTTTTGGACTTCAGTTAGAACTCCTGTTGATCCAGATGATCAATTAACTCAAGAGAGGGGTGGGCCCCATATGAGCCGGATTATTGAGCATTATAAGTATTTTATTTAAGGTAGAATTATCCTGTATTGTATTAATACCATCCTGTATTAAATACCAGCCTAGTTCACTGAGTGTTGTTTTAATGCTTCTGCTTTGATTTTATGTTACAGAGTATTTCGTCATCTTGGTGTATAACAAATTTAATTTCCAAAAAGCACCTTCCTGGTTGATACCTGGTTGATGGGGTTCTGGGAGTTCTTCTACTCCCCAAGCCCGGCCCGAGGCCAGGCTCGACTTGTGAGAGTTTGGTCCACCAGGCTGTTGCTTGGAGCGGCCCGCAGGGCCACGTACCCACCACAGCCCGGCTGATCCGGAACTTCTCTTAGAAAACCGTCCAGTTTTCTCTTGAAGATGTCCACGGTTGTTCCGGCAATATTTCTTATGCTCGCTGGGAGGACGTTGAACAACCGCGGACCCCTGATGTTTATACAGTGCTCTCTGATTGTGCCTATGACACCTCTGCTCTTCACAGGTTCAATCTTGCATTTTCTTCCATATCGTTCACTCCAGTACGTTGTTATTTTACTGTGTAGATTTGGGACCTGACCCTCCAGTATTTTCCAGGTGTATATTATTTGGTATCTCTCTCGTCTCCTTTCTAGAGAGTACATTTGGAGAGCTTTGAGACGATCCCAATAATTTAGGTGTTTTATCTCGTCTATGCGTGCCGTATATGTTCTTCTATTTGTCCCATAAGGTTATTAATATTATTTTATTTGGCATGATTCTATAAGGTGACTCCATGAATGCAGCCATGTAAAATCAGGATCAAATTGTATACAAAATTCTACAATTCTAAATATTTGGAGTTGGAAATTTACAATATGTACAAAGAACTTTGCTATAATTGCTCACTTAATTCTACAAATATTACTTATTATTACAGTACATATAGATTTAGATATCTTACCTTAATGCAGGCATCCTGTAAGTTGGATAGATCAGCATTTAAGATTGAGGGCCCAATCTTGCACTCTACGTGTTTCTTATCTTCAGCCATGGTCGAGTCTGGAAGCAAATGAGAAGCAAGATTATAAGGTTGAGTGCAGTAAAACGTTATAAACAAGTCTCATGTTGCCCCAAGCCTTGCACTTGAGTGACATAAGAAAACCTTCGATGGTTGAGATAGTATACCTGTATACACATTAGGATACGAGCAAGTCAAAAAAGGGGTTCCTTGACCAAAAACCTAATTCAACATGTAACCAACTTCTAAAGAAATTACAGAACAAAACTTAATATCCTAGCAAAAAGTTATGTATGAAATGTAAAGGTTCATCGATCAGTAATCACAGTGCTAGATGCTGCATGGTTAAATTGTATACAGAATTTTATTGAATGGCGGGGGGTTTTCTTTGGGCTAGGATAGATTTAACAGGTTTGACAGTTCACAATTTCCAGTTTAAAGAATCTTGCATGATTCACCTTTAGATGAAAGGAGCATCATCAATTGACCCCACACTGTTCTTGGGTAGATGTTACGTTACCACAATACCAGGTCAACTTGCTCCCGTTACAACTTGTCCATACCCTTTAGTCATGCTTTCCTTGACTGTTTGGATATGACCTATAGGTTTCATTAGAAATAGGTTTATTTTAGATTGGGTATACAGTAAAATACAGTACATATATTTGTCATCATCACTGTGTTTAGTTTGGAGCAAGTTGAAAAAACAAGGCAACCTGCCCTAAAATCTAGTTATCACCTGTAGCGAGTAGATTATCCCAATAATATACTCGCTCCAAATGCATTGTTAATATTCCTGTCAACCTTTGGAGATGAATGAGGTGAGGCGTTGCCCGGGCAACATGGTGAGGTGTTGCCCGAGCATATAAGCAGCAGAATAGCAAACATTAACCAGAGTCTACTTTCAAGTGTGGTCTAGAGCAGACACTTGCGAGATACTGTACCGACGCTCAGTGCGCTCAACTCACACCAAAGTATCACCTGTGTACTTCTGTATATTTGACCAAATATATATATATTATCTTAGTGTCTGTTTATTTGTCACCATACTTTACGTAACAATAGAACCGTTACACACCCATTCAAATTGCGCAGTTATTATGCATCAAATATATTGTATTTCATATAATGTAACACACCCGAAACGCTATGCGTACTAGTGGCTTTAGGTATTGTATGTACTACCTCTATCTTTAAATCAAACAGAATGTTTGTACTGTAACTCTGCAACTATGTATGTACTTTTTCTAAATATATTATTATTATTATTATTCTCCCATGCCTTACAGTATTATCAACTATGATCTAAATGCTCATATGAAGCAACATATGATCTATGTGCAACACATTTTAAGGAGTAACCTAAAGTGAGAATTGTGTTAATTAAGAAACCCCCCTTCCAAATTTATACTGTATTCAAGTAGCAGTGAATACAGGTCCCGGTGGGTCCCAGTGTAGGTCTCAGTGTACTACTAGGACCCACAGGTCTCAGTAGTAGTCAGGTTCGTTCTTAACTCACAATTAGGAACTTTGGGTTTGAATCTCATACAGGACAGAAATGGTTGAGTGCAATTTCCTATCACCTAATGCCCCCTGTTCACCTAGCAGTAAATTGGTACACAGGAGTTAGTCGATATTTAGTCAGCTTATTGTGGGGTTGCATCCTGGGGTCAGTTGGGTGGGGTGGGGACCTCAATATAAGCTTAATATACTGTACCTAAATTTACCTGGCTGCCTGTCCCCCCGATACAATAAATTGTTATTATTATTCAATTAACATAGAACCCAACAGGCTGGTTTGAAATAAATATGGGTCACTTCATACAAATGACGGGATGCCTAAAGAATTTGAAAACCAACTCATTCTAATGACATGGTTTTCAAATTCAGGGGGTAAGGAAGTTGGTTTGGTATATCAGAGTCCCCCATAAGGCCAACAGCTGACCTTCTCAATAATGCAAATCACAACAGTTGACCATCTCCTCAGAATTTATTTGCTGTAAGGTAAACAGAGGCATCAAGCGTAAGGGAACAAATACGGGGTAGCTTAATTAATATCCAAGATGGTTCTCCAGTGGATTTCAGACTCTACCCTACCCTATTTAACCTAACCCAGCCTAGCCTAGCTTAGCCTAGCCACATCTAGTCTTGCCTCATCTAGTTTAGCCTAGCGTCGTCTAGTGTAATCTAGCCTAGCCTAACCAAATCTAAACTAACCAAACTCAACCCCAGTAGTAAATATGATTTTTAACAATTAGAAAAATATGCTTTGTTCATTCATCTGAACAATATGACGGTACTTGTAGCTCACAAGGAAACCTGCCTAAACATCTCAGAACCCTTCCCGGGCATCGAACCCCGGACCATTCAAATAAAACCCCTGCTCATATCCAAACTAACATCTGTGTGTCTTCCCAGCACCTCTATATACACCTCTAGAACATACCCACATTTAATCCCCAGAACAAAACCATTTTAAGACACCACAGGAAATTATTAAATCTTCATAATTGAACACAATTCTCTAAATACAAAACCCCCGTGAAGGCTTGACCTTTGGAGGTCAAGTACAGATCTTAAAGGTGTATGCGGAGCATACATATATATACACACACACACACAGGCTTCCTGTCCCCGGGAATGACACTAACAAGAACAGCAAGTCAAGAAGGCAGCGGACATATGGTTCTAGGGGGATGATGGACGGCCCTCGATCTGTAAGGTCAAGCACAACTGACTCTGGCCAGTAACTGGATGGGCAATATATATATATATATATATATATATATATATATATGGGTAAATGACAACTATAAAGGGCACAATTGAGGTAGGAGTTAGTAAGAGAGGAGGCCTACCTGAGCGGGGACCTGCAGCTACCTCTCACAGCAAGCCGGCGGCTGTCACTGCCTACCTTACCCTAGGCCTACCTCTCCCCTCTCCCTCTCACACTTTCACATTATTATTCTTATTTATGTGTTCATTTTCGTGATTTACACACACACATGTTTATTTATACATATGTTAAGGCGTTTCATAAAATCTTTTGATTCACATATGTTAAGAGAATTTGAATTGCAATGTCAGAAAATAATAGGGGTGGTAGGAGAGGAAAAGATTAAAGTATTCAGTGAGAATCCACAAGGTCTTCTCTGAACACTATTTATTTTCTTCTTCGAGGATGTGGGTCCCTTTAATTAAACCAGTGGTGGTACCCCTATATATATATATATATATATATATATATATATATATATATATATATATATATATATACACATACATACACACTCACACATACATTACAAATGTGTGCAGTATCTTGTGTAATGGGTGTACAGTATAGGAAGTATGAGTTATTAGTCGACTCTAGTCTAGACTAAACTAGATTTATTTTAAATAAATAAATAAATAAATAAATAAATAAATAAATTATATATAATGATGTATGAACCATGTACGAAACGACCGGTTACATGTTTCCACCCTCCCTCCCACTCCCCACAACAAGTGTACGAAACCTCCAGGCCCTCGCCGGCACCCTGACGGTGTATCTCCTCCCTGTATCACCCTGTATCACCCTGTAGCCTCTCCCTGTATCACCTTTCCCGACGGGTTGTATTACAGCCGCTAACATGGCTCTGAAGGTGAGTGTGGTGCTGTGAGGCCCCTGGCCACAGGCAACCTATAGCGATTATCCGGTCCTCCTGGAGGCCTACCGGCTCACTCTGGGGGCCAAACCCCCATAATAACTAAATAAACTAAAATAGAATGTTTATTCAAGTAAAAGTACATATATGCAAGATGGGTTACACATATATTGTTGGCTTGCTAGATACAGCTGGTACATGCTATGCCTAAAGCCACTACTATGCACAGCGTTTAGGGCAAAACGCTTGTCTAGGGCTAATATTTGTCTAACTCCAGGCTATACCTGTTTCCATCTAGGTGAATGGTGGTAGCAGGTGAAAGAAAAGGTGCTCATCGACAGCTATCCTGAGCAGGGGAGCAGTTTTTAGTTGAGTTCATTTATTATGCACTCCCCAAGCCTGGCCTTAGGCTGGGTTCGAGGAGTAGAACAACTCCTGAAACCCTCTCCAGGTATAGTCCAGGTATACCCATCTTTTGGGCGGTAGTCGAAAGGGTTAGAGGCACATAATAGTCTTGGGGACTGAACCCCACCATTCATTTAACTAAGCAAGTTAGTCTTGATGATCTAGTACCAAATTAATCCTTAACTCTAGCCTCTGTTCACCAGCAGTGAATAGGTACCTGGTTGCTAAACGATTTGGCAGGTCATATTCCGGGGAAAAAATAAGATTAAGGACCTGCCCAAAATGTTATGCATGCTAGTGGCTTTACAAGAATGTAACAACTCTTGTAAACATTAAAATTCAGTGCACATCGTCACATTCACAATGGGCTCGAGACCGACCACACGTACAGTCTATAAATTAAGCAACTGACATGTGTGGAGAGCTAATGTCACAATTGATATGTTTATCCTGCACACCGTCACCCATCCAGTGGGGGAACCCAAGATTCTCGGTTGTGATCCAACAATGTAGACCATTGTGCTAGTGTTAAAACTATAATATTTAAGGGTGAGTTTGAGCCAATAAACTTTAGACCATCTTACAAACCAATAAGTTCACAAATCTAGCCACCTGTGATCCCGGGTTCGATCCCGGGCGCCAGCGAGACACAAATGGGCTGAGTTTCTTTCACCCTATGCCCCTGTTACCTAGCAGTAAATAGGTACCTGGGTGTTAGTCAGCTGTCACGGGCTGCTTCCAGGAGGTGGAGGCCTGGTCGAGGATCGGGCCGCGGGGACACTAAAGCCCCGAAATCATCTCAAGATAGCTCAAGATAGCTACCTTATCCATACATTATGTATATAAATAAGACTCCCGGTAGTATAATGGGATTCATTCTCGATCACAATCAAGAATTCCAGGTTCAAATCCCGAGGGAACAGAAATGGTTGGATGCACTTTCCTATTGTAACACCATAAAGGTGTTTAGTTGGGTGAAATCTTATCATTAACGAATCGCTTATCACTATTACTTATCACTAATGCCAAATCTTATCACTAACATAAATCTCCCTACATACTAAGTGGTACACTACAGTAAAGTGGTACATAAAGGCAAACCAACAAAATCTTTAGTGAGAGGGGAAGTGAAGAATAAGGAGAGGGCAGAACAAGTTCCTGAAAATTGCATACACCAACATAGATGGAGTGAGATCAAAGATACTGGAGTTAAGTAATATAATACAGTTGCATACACAAGACATTGTTGCACTCACAGAGACAAAACTTGAAGATGATATTTTAAATAAGGTCATATTCCCAAGGGGCTACTCGGTTTGGAGATGGGACAGAAAAATTAGGAAAGGCGGTGGCGTCGCTGTGCTGGTGAAAGAGCACTTAAACGTAAACAAAATAATAATTGCCAATCCATGAGAAGTTGACATAATAGCACTAGAGATATGAAATCAGGATGATAAACTAATGATCATAAATGCATATAGTCCACCGCCAAGCAACACATGGACAAAGGAGGAGCTACATAATAAACGAGAGGGTCTTATAACAATAATGAGAGAAATTATAGCGACAGCTGATAAAGATAGATCACGACTGTTGGTAGTCGGCGACTTCAACATGAAATCCATAGACTGGGAGGCATATGAAGCTAGAACGGAGGATTTTTGGACTTGTAGATTCGTAAACCACATCCTGGAAACATTCATGTTTCAACATGTTAAACAAGCTACGAGGATGAGGGAAGGGAATGTTCCCTCCATGCTGGATTTGATATTTACCAGGAAAGAGGAAGAGATATTTGACATTCAGTACCTCCCTCCCTTGGTTAAGGATTGGTTTGACAGAAATTGTGAGAAGCCCAGAGACCAAAAGACACAAAATGGAATCAATATAGGAAGAGGCCAAACCCCCAAACATACCAGTGATACAATGATGCGAGAAACAACTACATGGCAGTGAGGAGAGAGGCAGAAAGAAATTTTGAAAAAGGGATTGTGGACAAATGTAAAACAGAACCAGGTCTATTCTATAAATTCATAAACAACAAATTGCAGGTAAAAGATAATATTCAGAGGTTAAAAATGGGAAATAGATTCACGGTAAATGAAAAGGAAATGTGTGAAACATTAAACGAAAAGTTCCAAAGTGTGTTTGTATAAAATGAAATCTTCAGGGGAACCAGACACAATAAGAATTCCAGAGAACAACATTGAGCACATGGAGGTGTCTAGAGACGAAGTGGAAAAAATGCTCAAGGAGCTAAGTAAGAACAAAGCAGTTGGTCCAGATGGAGTTTCACCATGGGTTTTGAGAGAATGTGCACCTGAGCTCAGTATTCCACTTCAACTGATTTTTCAGGCATCCCTGTGTAAAGGAGTTGTAGCTAATGTGTGGAAAAAGGCTAACATCGTTCCAATCTACAAAAGTGGCAGCAGGGAAGACCCCCTCAATTATAGACCTGTATCATTGACAAGTGTAATAGTCAAAATATTTGAAAAAATAATTAAAACTAAATGGGTAGAACACCTAGAGAAAAAGATATAATATCAGACAGACAGTATGGTTTTCGATCTGGAAGATCCTATGTATCGAATTTACTCAGTTTCTATGATCGAGCCACAGAGATATTACAGGAAAGAGATGGGTGGGTTGACTGCATCTATCTGGACCTAAAAAGTTAGGGGAGGTCCTAGGTCCTAGGGCCACCGGGGAGTTAGCCCGGTGGCCCTCAACCTTTCCTGGTATGAGAGTTTATGTGGTTCTGGAATGATTTTTGTTGCCCAGTGTTGAAGCCTTCTCCGAAGAAACTACATCTTCCTGAAGATGAGGTAGGTCTCCAGGCCAAGATGCAATAATCCAAGTTTGGAGCACCAGATATACTATATATACAATTGAATAACTGCCTTCTTTTCTTTAAAGTCAAAAGTATGCTTGAGTATTCCTAGGGGTTGGTTGCTTTTATACTACTGTCCAATCCAGTTGTGCAGCTTTCAATGAATTGTCCTAATTGCATTGTCCCTCTTACGGTCGTGCATATCCTTGTTGAGTGTCCTGACTTCCGGGACGAGCATGTGTCTTGTTTTCCGACCGTCCCCCGCGGTTGCTTGTTTCTCGATAGTATTCTCAGTGACTCGGATACTTTTGATATCATTCGCCTTATGCGTTTCTGTTCTCATATTGGCATCCTTGGTGATATTTAGCGCCCTCTGATTATCCCGCACATTTGATGGTGCAACATAACCTTCACGGTTTGGTGCCTTCTTTTTGATAATTACTTACTTACTTTCAATGAATGGTGGATTTTGACTCCATGGTCCTTTTCTACATCAATCTGCTGCAAAGTAATACTATTAATTTGGCAGTTGTGATGTGTGCCCCACATGCAACGTCTTGCATTTTTCAATATTTAAAAGCATTTGCCAGTCTTCTGATCATGTGTAGAGTTAATATAGATCTCTTTGTTAGGCTTCAGTATTATTTTTCACTTTTCAATTAACCATATATCTTGGTGTCATCTGCAAATTTGATGATGTGGTTTGTAATATTCTCATCTGTGTCACTGATGTGTATGAGAAAGAGTGTTGGCCTCAAAATGGACCCCTGTGGCACCCGACTCATCACATTTCTCCAGTCAGGTTCATTTCCATTTAGCACGACCCTTTGTTTTCTTTGTTTGAACCATTGTTTTATCCATTCTAGCATTCTACCATTTACCATTTTAGTATTCTACCTTTAAGTTGTTATACTGGAATGCTGCACATCATTTTCATTGAATATGTTTTTTCTGTAATAATAAGTTAAGGTCTAGGAATATTTCCACCTAATTTTTTTCTTATCCTTAGGGTTTAGTGTCTCTTGTCACTGGGGGAGCATCTGGCTTAGGGAAGGCCACTGTGGAGAGAATTGTTCGGGAAGGCGGGCGGGCGGTCATCTGCGACCTGCCCACATCACAGGGAGCCAAGGTAGCACAGGATATTGGTGACCATGTCATCTTTGTGCCAACTGATGTAAGTAGTCTTGAAGCATAAAGTTTAATGTAAGTGTAATATTCTTGGAGCCAGTCAATTAGCATGGTCAAAGTAAAAAAAAAAAAATATATATATATATATATATATATATATTTTTCCATTTTATTTTCTTGTTTTGTCCAATATTGTAGACACATGAGTGATATTTTTCTCTGATTGCTAGTAACACAACTGGCACCCTAACACTAAACAAAATATTTGTTTGTGTCTATCTTAAATGCACAAAATGTTTTCCTGTTAAAGCCTGTTATTTGAAATATAAATACAGTGCAACCTCGATTCAGCGAATCACTGGTTAGGACGCACACTTTTCAGGCCTGTCATATAACAAATCAACCTACTGAATTCATTTAGTAGTATTCAAGTTTGTATATTACAGTTGTTAATGAATTGCAGGTGTCATCGGCCCCAGACGTAGAGAATGCTCTATCAGAGTGCAAGAACAAATTTGGTCGTCTAGATGTAGCCGTCAACTGTGCCGGCATAGGCATAGCAGTGAAGACATACAACCACAACAAGAAAATATCTCATGATTTAGAAAGTTTCATGCAAGTTCAAAAGGTATATCAGTTTTATTATATGTGTGTATATTTTGTTTCTCTTACCGGTAGTTTTCTGGGAGGGCCTCCTCAGTAATTCTCTAGGTTAAGCATTGGTCCAGAAAAACCTTAAGGACATGCACCAGGCACCTGAGGCCTACCCTTACCTGCCAGGAATCAGGATCAGACTCTGGCTCTTTTACCACTTATAGGATGGGAACAGGGTGCATAAACCCCTCCAAAATAAATAAGGAAAAAAAAAGCGACTGCATTAAGAAAACTAAGTACCCTCAGATAACAAAACAACACAATTGTTGCTGTGGTGTAAGCACCCTAACTGTGATGCACCTGACTAACACCAGGTGACAGCCTAGATAACCCAGGTGCCCAGATATCCCGCCCTCTCCTCATGCTCACCAGGTTGCAGCCTTTGGGGCATTTAACCTATGGCAGTGCCTATTCTCTGCTTCATGCTTAAGCTAAGTGTTGGCTATCCCTGAATACTTGTTCCACTAAGGGTCATGTCTTTATTGTTTTTTTTCTTTCGTGATTATGTTTTATGCCATCAACATTGCCTCTGCCCATAAATTGTATTTTGATTAGACTGTGGGCCAGGGTTCCCTTTCTTTGTAGTCGGCTAATAATTTCCCTGCACTGATGGATTTGGGTTGTTCCTCTTGAGTCACCTTGCTTATAGGTGTGAGACCTGTTGATGTTGATTTACAGTTAAAGTATTTAGTTTAACGACACTGAACTAGCATGCTGGGATAGCAATTTACCTAGCTCTTTATGCATGCTGGGGCTTTGTGCCTTTGATGAATGTGTGCACAAGTTATGCAAGTCATGATTGTCTTTTCCTATCAGATGTTTATGGTTGGAGTTCTGACTGTTTCTGCTGCCCTTGTAGAGAAGGTAGGTGACCTCCATGCTTAATGCCCCCCCTTCCCTTCTCCTGATTTTGGGCCCCTGGAGGATGTTGTAGGCTTTACCTCTGACCCTCTCTTTCCATCAGTGGGGTTGGGCTACCAGAGCTCTTAGGGGTTTGTTGGGGAGTCTATGAGTGTCCAATTTCCTCTTTTTGCTGCCTTGTTTTAGCTGGACCTAAAGTCTTGTTCTCATTGGGATATCATTTGGTTACCCTCTGTCTTTTAAAGGGCACTCCTTCACCTCTACCTTTGGATGCATTCAGACAATAAACCACAGAAGCACAATTTGAGTGAAGCCTAAGGGCTTCACTCAAGTTATCTCCCATGGGAGATAGAGGCAAACAGAAGAGAAAGGGACCAATCTGAATGTAAAGCATAGACCAGCACAGCCTGTCAGCATGCTAAACAAGCAGTGAAGAAACTCGCAACTACCTCCTGAAGAAAAAGAGCGAGTGACTTCGGCAGTGCCTCCATATGCCTGCGTCACAGGTGATAGCTGTAACACTTGACAAGGTGCTAGACCACCACTGAGTTTGTTTGAAAACAGCTCAACCACAGCCAAAATATGTAAAATAGAGGCTACATAAAGACTTGCCCTGTGATCCTCCACAGCCAGAGCACCAGAGAGCAAAAACAAATTCACATGTAGTTACTACATGCCTACATCGCAGAGTAAGCAGTGCAACACAGGCACCATCTAAGAACACCTGGAAAACTGAATCTACCTCATGCCAAGACCCCAAGGAAACCAAAGGGTTTCCAGCAAGCTAGGACTAATCAGGAACCTCATAACTCGACCAAAATCCAGAAACTAACCCGCACTAACTTGAGACCTTATTCTCTTAGCCTTTTGGTCTTCTGCAGTTTTTTGTTATTTCTAAACATGAATCTTATTCCTTCACTTCATGTTTTCTTTTCCTCTACGTTTTTTGTATGTTTACTTTATTCTTATATATTATCTTATTTGCATACTTCCTTATTCCCATACTTCAAATCTATTCCCATACTTCAAATCTTTTCCTATACATTATCTTTTCCACATACTTCAAACCTTTTCCTATACTTCACACCTATTCCAATGCTTTATCTTATTCCTATACTACAACCCTTTCCACTACTTGTTCCTTTAGTTCTTACCTTACTCCTTTCCTTTAACCTATTTGCCTATCATCTCATTCTCTTACCTTATAAATTGACTTTCTCTCTCTCCCACTTTTTTTCCCTTATACAACTTGATAATGGTTCAGGATGGACCGAAACATAAATTCTTGTATTTTCAAGTTTGTGGGTTGGGTATCTAGTTAATTATCTCTTGCATGCAAGTACACTTAGTCCTGATTTGAATATTTCAGGTGAATTTAGGTGGAACCTTCAATGTCATTCGTCTTAGTGTAGCATTAATGGCGGAAAATGAACCGAACACAGATGGTCAGCGAGGAGTTATAGTGAACACGGCAAGTGTTGCAGCCTTTGATGGCCAGATTGGGCAGGCAGCATATGCGGCCAGCAAGGGAGGTATTGTTGGCATGACACTTCCAATTGCCAGAGACCTGGCACCCTTGGGCATCAGAGTTTGTACCATTGCACCAGGTGAGTGATAATTACCTTTGATTAACTTTTTAGCATTGCTAAAATATTAATTAACAAATTAAAAGTGACATCCCATCTCGGTAATATACTGTACTCTTACTGTTAAGATCTTGCTCACCTGTTTATCAACCCCTCATTTAGAGGATCTTGCTCACCTGTTTGCCAACCCCTCATATAGAGGATCTTGTTCACCTGTTTACCAACCCCCACATATAGAGGATCTTGCTCATCTGTTATCATCCCCTCATTTAGAGGATCTTGCCTCTTTACCAACCCCTCATTCAGACAATCTTTTTTGTTATTTTGTTTAGTTCTATATTAAACAGGGGGTTAGAATAGAGATAGGCAAGAATTCTTGCCCTCTTTGGATACAGAAATGATCTTTTTGAGGTTATTTTAGGCTAGACTGAGAGTTTCTCTAGAGCCTCCCTGGCACCTGAATAACTCGGCACCTATCTTGAAGTCATCTTGAGATGATTTCCAGGCTTAGCGTCCCCCGTGGCCCGATCCTCGACCAGGCCTCCTTTTTGTTACACACCCCCAGGAAGCAGCTAGTAGCACCTGTCTAACTCCCAGGTACTTATTTACTGCTAGGTGAACAAGAGCATCAAGGTGAAAGAAACTCTGCCCATTTGTTTCGGCCTTCACCGGGGATCGAACCTGGAATCTCAGGACTACGAATCCAAAGCGCTGTCCACTCAGCTGTCAGGCCCCTATACTCGAAAAATTTCCCCACAGTGTAGGTGAAGACTCTCAACCTCTCCTGAGTGCAATGATTCTTTCCAATGAGACCAGAGCAAATTTTGCCTTAGAAAGAAATGCATTCATATGCTCTAGTGGCCTTATTTCATTTTAATAGTGCAAGTCTTTCAATCTTGGTTAACAAAACTCATAACTAATTATAATTAGTAGGTTCACAATTTTTGCTTGTCATTATTTGTGTTTATGCCTCACAATTTCAAAATCCACTTAAAACTAATTTTTTGGGACCTAGCTTTTCTAAAAGTGTTATCCTTCAAAATTCATCACGTTTTGGGTTTTCTACCATATGTACACATTCCACACATTAGGCTGGAGATGACTTCCTGATTTTAATTACACTGCTGTGTTTGCAGATTTTCTCAATTTGATATATGTAAAATTATTGAAGTACATATTTATTTGCATTATGCAAGCCTTGTCTGACTGTTTTAAGTACAGTACAGTACTTGAATTGTCTGTCTTTATGATACGTGAAGCCCAGCTGATTATATTGTTTAAGCAAGTTTTCATTCCCATTATATTGGTAATACTTTATTTCTAAATATACTATGTCGTACTACTCGCATTGGATACCTGTATTTTCTTTTTCCAGGATTATTTAAGACCCCATTATTGATGAGCCTGCCAGAAAAAGTACAGAGTTTCTTGGCCAAAACTGTTCCATTTCCACAGCGTCTGGGTGACCCAGATGAGTATGCCATGATGGTTCAGGCAATCATCACAAACCCCATGATGAATGCCGAGACGATACGTGTGGATGGTGGTATTCGAATGCAAGCTTGAGCTATGGCAACTTTGTAATTCTAACTTTGTATATGAATTTCTTGTACATGTTACTCTGATTATGCTTCAGTTGAATATCAAAGTAAAATATTTTCTTAGTACAGAAGTGTAAAAAGTTTATGGGATTTATTTAATACATTTTGTAATGATTTTTACTTCACTGTTAGTTATTGATGCTAAAAGCTTTTTTTCCAGGCACAATGATGTTAAGAAAACTGTTCATAAAAATGTTAATATGCTGACATTTGCTGCTTCATACTTCTGTCTTCATTAATATTTTTAATCCAAAGTAAACTCTTCTAATGGGTGCTCCTAAACATTATATAAATACAATTAAAACTACAACCCTTGTGTTGATAACAAAATCTTGTACTGTTTTTCATTCAATGAATAACATTAAAAATCTTGTACTGTTTTTCATTCAATGAATAACATTAAAAAGGGTTATAATAATACAAGACTGTACATTGGCTTTATATTAAAGAATAACTTAGGTGGGCGGGAAATGACATACACGGAAAAGCTAACAGAGCACTGAATGATGGGGGAAGACGGTTACTTGTGGACACCACCGCCACCACCGGCAGTAACGTGGCTGCGTGGAGGTGGGGTCGTGACTACGATAAACATAAAAGTCTGTATTTATTCAGTTACAGTATTAGTGATTTTATCTTGAGGCCTATCAATAATAAAAACAATAATGAGCATAAACATTACTAATTATTGGCTATGAGTTTGGGAATGAGGTGAGACTGATTGTGAACTTTTGAGTTGAGATAACTTTTTAAAATTTATTTAGTTTAGACTGTTTAGGACATTAAAATACATGTTTAGTATTTTAAACTTAATATATAAGGTGGAGCAGCTTTTGTGTGTTCATGTTCATGATTAGTGTGTATATGTGACTTATACTGTAAGGTACATTTCTTGAGTATTGTGCTTGAGCATGTGTGCAGCTACCGGTAAAGAATGTGAATTCTTGAGAATGTACATTATTTTTAGGAGGGAATTATCAGGGGAAAGAGCCCAGCCATTATGACTGTAGTACTTGGAAGGGGTCAGAATAAGGATTTGGGATGGGAAGGATTCGTGCCCAACCACTTGGACGGTCGGAGATTGAACGCCGACCTGCATGAAGCAAGAGCGTTACTCTACCGTCCAGCCCAAGTGGTTGGGCGAACATTTTCAAGAGGTATGTTCATAGGTTTTATAACTAAAACTCTAGTAATGTTGAGGTTTCTCATATATTTTTGGTTTCTTTAGATGTTTGATTTAATTTATAATTTAAAATATTATGTTTTAATATAAAATTTACAAAATTGCAATTAAGAAACGGCTAATTGTTCTTGACAAAGTTTAACAATAATTGATATAATATGTATAATTTACTGACCCAAAATGTAACAGGTATTTACATTCACATTCTTAATTAATGTAAGCTGGCACATTGTATTCTAATTATGATGCTGAACAGCTTGTGTCTGATGTAACCATCTGTTACTAGCATTGAAGTAGAATGTATATACAAAATTAAATAATTTTCTTGTATTATTTACATCATATAAATTTTGTAATACACCTGAATCTTTATTTTATTGTGTTTTGGAAGATGATTGTGGTGGCCTGTAGAACCTTTTGCACAGCTAAACATGCAAGATGCAAATTCCGTTCTTCTCCCCACCAAGTTCAAGTATGTTTATTGAAACAAGAAAAAATACATCTCAAAGGGATAAGAGTAGCTTAGGCTATTTCAACCCCCCTCCCCACCAATTGCTATTAATACCCCTCTCCTTTGTGTCTCCCTCATGGTTGGCAGAAAACCTGCAAGATTATGGGTACATTTGTCCTTCATCTCTGCAGTTCTGGTGTTGGTTGTGAATGAATTGGGTTTGCAATTTTGTTTAGCTCCGGTACTCTTCCTTCTGCTTTCCTTACTCATAATCGCCTTATTGAATATCGCCTCTGAAATTTTAAACTTGTCTTACCCCCCTATTATGATCTCTTCACTCTTTCTGAACTCCAGTTTGGCCTATCCCTCTACAGTTGCATGGCAATAGGCTCAGACAGTATTCACTATGAGATGCTGGCTTTTCAGTATTTGCTGTATATTTTTGACCATTTTTGGGATAGAACATCTGTCTCCGAGTACTGACGTAAGGTGTTCCCATTAGGAACCCAGTACTTCATGGACTACCCCAAAAGATTTTCACCCCATTACCCTGATAGGGTAGTCTGCAAACTTTTTTTAACATGGTTAATATACCATATGTGGTTCTTAAAAACACCAACGATCCTCTTCCCCTCTCAATGTACCCAAGTTTACCTGAGGCCCATATTCTCTAGTAGCCTCAACAGGAACAGGAAGCCAGTGGTTTGTCATAGGTCCCCACTTTGCACCTAAGGAATTTTTTCCAGCTGGATTTTGAACTGAAGTAATACCTAGGCATTAAGTGTTTCAGTTGGTAGGTAGTTCCATAGTTTTTTAACTATAGTTACCTTGTGGTGGTTTTAGGTATCAATGTCCTCATGGCCCAATCTCTGGCCAGACATATGAGTGAAAATGTAGCTTCGGTTTTCTGTCGTACATTATGGCTTGTTGAGCTTGAAGCCGTTGGCCCCTTGTATGCATTAGATTTGATCTTTTAATCCTGTCTTTGTTCACAATCTCTCTTGTCAGTGTGTGAGAGCATTACTCACTGCTACTTTCCCCAGCCCGTGTTTTAAAGACGTAGTATTGATTATTAGCCTCCAACTTATTCAGTATCTTAAAAGTCTTTGTGAGATTAACCCTGTCATGTCATGTCAGGTTTGCAGTGTTAGTCCTGTGGCCCTCAACCATTCCTGGTAAAAGGAGCTGACTGTTTTGGGATGAACTTTGTTGCCATGTGTAGAACATTCTGCAAAGCGGGTATATCATTTTGATGGTGATGTTTCCATTCTTAGATACAGTAATCCAGTTGGGGGCACACCAGACGTAACGTTGGATAACTACTGTCTTTTCCTTGAGGTCAAAGCCCACCAATCACATGACGAAACTATGATGTTGCTGCAACTTTCAAACAAGTTTTAACACCTCTTAACAAGTTGTGCAACAAATATAGCAAGTTGTAACAACATTCTAATGTGTCAAAAACGTTATAACAAGATATAGCAACTTTATTACAAGTTGTAACAAGTGGAAAATAGGGACAGTTACTTTGTGTGTTTGCAAGGAGGTTTGTTTGACTTGCCAAGGTTTAGTTTGCTTTTTTCTGGGGGGGGGGGGTCCTTGTGGCTCTGAAGCTGTCTTGCTGGGATGGCCTCTAGATATGAGTTCATTATGGTTGTGGAGGTGAGTTCTCAAAAACAAACAAAAAAAAAAAAAAGTTCAGACTACTAAGGACCAGAGCCAGGACTTTGTCCCCCTTCCTCCTCACAGAGGTGCAGAAAGCAGGTGACACTCCACCTCCCTGGAAAAGGCACCTAAAAGTCGGGGAATGAATAAAGCAACCGTCATTAGGCCAGGCTTGGTAAAGCTGCAGCCATCCCCCAAGATGCCTTCATTAATTTTAACATTGTAATAACAATAGGTTTGTTCTTATAAAAAATCTTTATATACAGTACATTAACATTATATGTATAGTTAGGCATAGGTTAGGTGTTTTGGTTAGCGATTATTTTGTATTTGTAGTACATGAAATGTTTACAGAATTGCAATTTGAGCAGAGGACATACATCATCAGTTGAGTCATGTAAACCGGTTTTCATTAATAAACAAGAGGTTTGGCAGCTGAATTAATGAGCATTTAGCCTTTGTTGATGAAGACAGGCTGAATATAGACCACTGCTGGGTTATCTTGAATAGTAGGTCGCATTTTGACATAAATCCCCCCCAAAGGCCTAAAACTGATGCCCTAAAAACCATAGCGAGCACCAAATTTGTGCGAAGTCTTTTTTTTTTATTCGTGAGTCCTCGGTTAGGTTAGGTTCAGGCAATTTAATACATCAGTTTAGTGACGTGATTGCTTGAGTGAATCCAGCTCATTGATCCTCATAAACGGAGGCCCGGAGTAATGTCATGCACCCGCCAAACCCCGTTTATGAATGAAAAATAGTTTACACACGACTCCCAACTGATGACGTTTGAACACTTCTTGAATGACTTGTTCGAACCACAACTCTGTAAATACTTCACTCACGTACTATAAATACAAAATAATCGCCAACAGAACCTAAACACCTAACCTAACCAATGCCTATATATTTGAAATGTGCTAATATATAACATTATTAATTGATATTTGAGAAGATTCCTATTTTGAATGAACAGCATGCTAAAATTGATGAATGCTTCTCGGGTCGACCGCTGGATGAAATGAAACTGGTCTGATGGGTTGGTAAATCTTGGCCCTGAATAGGCAGCCCGTCCTCCAAACAAAGATCCAAAAGTGATTCCATGCACCCGCCAAACCCCCTGTTTATGAATGAAAAGCAGTTTACACACGACTCACAACTGCTGACGTTCGAACATATCCGGAACAAGTGCTTCACTGACGAATTTTGTTCGAATCACAACGCTATAAATGCTTCACCCACGTAGTACAAATATAAATAATCGCCAACAGAACCTAAACACCTAACCTAACCTAACCTAACCTATCCTATGCCTATATATACACAATTTGCCAATATATTATAATATTAATTTATACTTGAGAAAATTCCCGTTTTGAATAAACAGCATGTTAAAATTTATGAATGCGTCTGTGGGGTCGACCGCTGAATGTAATGGACTTGAGTCGAGGACGGGTTGGAATAGGTTAGGCGGTTGAATTTTTTTACGGAATGACAAATCAAGAGACCAGACAGGGTATAGACCCTTCTCAGGTGAGAGTCTGCAGCTAAAGTGGAACTCATAAGAGAAAGGCACCGATTAAAGACCATCCAAGGCTGTCTTAATGGTCTAATACGCAGACACCAGAAGGAGTCTGTACATCCACTGGAAATTTACCTGAGGGCTAGTGGCCTCGATGAGGACAGGAAGCCGCCGGCTTGTCAAAGGTCCCCCCCCCCCCATGTTGTACACCCCCAAAATGTACATTGGGTCAGAAAATCTGATTAAGGTGATTTAACAACTATGAAGATATTAAGAGTATTAGTTGTTTCAGTTCGAAAAGTTTTTTTTTTTGTATTAACGGGCTGCCGATCTCGGAGCTTTCATTCCAAAATTGGTACATTTCTTGCTATTTGGTACTTGTTGTACTAAGCATTGATAATTCGGTATTTTGTTATAATTTTCCCAGTTTGATAAAAAAAAAATAAGATATAATATTAAAAATATTCGAATATTGTACAACAAAAATCATGATACAGTATTTGCTAGTGGTACTGGTCCAGTGAATCTCTACCAGTAGTATTAACCACGTTCAATACTGATAAGGTTATTATTGCGGTGTTAATGTCACCACCAGCAGTGAGGGCGCCTGGCTAGTACCGATTGATTGATAAAGATTAAGCCACCCAAGAGGTGGCACGGGCATGAATAGCCCGTAAAATGGCTAGTACCCCAACCCGTCCTCCTATAAGGTTACCCAACGTCAAGAAACTGTCGTGCATAATTGCCGGGTACCCAGTGACTAGTCACGGACGCGCCCTGCTGGGAAGTGGTTGCTCATTGTGATTGATTGATAAAGATTAAGCCACCCAAAAGGTGGCACGGGCATGAATAGCCCGTAAGTTTTTTTTTTGTTATTATTATTATTTTCTACCACAGAAGTGGCCACACATTTACAATGCTAACTAGCATATATACATTTTCTTCTGTGATCGACTTGAGAATGGTCCAGGACGGACCGAAACGTCGTCGTCCCTTCAATTTCTAGTGTGTGGTCTGGTCAACATACTTCAGCCACGTTATTGTGACTCATCGCCTGCATATTTTCTTCTGTCCTCCATGGACAGGGTGAAAGATTTGTCAAACATAAAGTTCAGAGATTTATTGAACAACCACAGAAGGTGATCGTAGTGCTTTTAAAATGTTAGGCTCCCGTAAGTGGTGGCCCTTTTGAGCCATTACCAGTATCAAGAGCTGATACTGGAGATCTGTGGCGGATTGTAAAGGGATTGTGTTTTTACGATATTTTCAACCGTATCATAATGAGTCTGAGGTGAAGCCAGGACTGTGATGGTGACGGTGGCGACTCCCACGAAGAAACAAAATATCAAACGTCAATCATGAACAACAAATTAGTGTCTTAACAAACAACTGATCGATAAGCGGTTTTGTGAGTGGATTGTTAAGTGACAGAAATAAAATGAAATAATTTTGTATACACTGTGACTGTGAAATACAAGGGAGTATTACAAGCACCTTGAGTGTTAACAAGCTTTCAAAAAGAAAAATACGGAGGTATAAAAATCGTTTCTCAACATTACCCACTTTCATGATGAACCTATTGTCTCCGCCTCTTTCTTATCATGCCGCGCAGACAAGATTTTCTCGACTGAACGATATGAAAGTGAAAAAATCGATCGTCTTAAAGCGCCTTTGTGGGGTTCAG